CCCTAATTTTTTTAGTTGTTACTTTTCCTGATTATTTTGAAAAGTTTCATGTATTTTTGTTTTTATCCACTCAAATAACCAACTAGAGTACGTTTTCTATCAGAAACCTCCATAAAAGTTTTGGATTAGAGAATTTTTACTATTGGATTACTAATAACAACCTTAATATAACGAATAAAAACAATAAAAAACACATAATTGTAAATCCCATATATTAATCGCTCCGCTCAGAATCTAAAAAGCCTGCATTTATGCATGTAAGTCAGGTTTTGGACAATTATTCAATTAAATAGTAATAAAAATAAACAATGTGATAAAATAATTGTAAAACAATAAATTTTATTTGTTTATTAGTACCTAATAAAAGCATATTGATTATTTGATGTTTAATTTACACAAATCACGGATTTAAACTTTATGAACCACTTTCAAATCGATTGAAACTGAAGTGTTTTACACACACAATTATTTTAAAAATATAATCACTTAACTTGGTATCAATATTAATATAAGTTAAATATATATATATATATATAATTTATGGCCATTGATTTCCTTCTTAGCAAGCAAATGCACCTAAATTATACATGTACAGTATATTATGAGTATTTTAAATTCCGAGAAAAATAATAAATGCATTATAATATAGGTAAACTATTATAGTAGTGTTACAAGGACATATTTTTTCTTGCGAAAAGTTTTACTAACAACGTTAAAAAAATTGTATCCAGGTACATAATATGTTTATATGGTACATAAAAATTACTATGTTGCCATTTAAAGAAAATGTAATACTTAAAACATATTTTAAATAACACTATTTATCTATATAAAATAATATACTAAACCAAGTTTTGCTAAGAATCGTTTATTAAATGAGAAAATGTACCATTATGTTCAAAATACAAATAACGATTAATACACTATACTATCCAGCACCAAGATATATAATTATTACTAGAACCTAATTTTTTTTTTTTTTTTTAACTCGGGAATATAGTCACTCTGTTACAATATTATAGTTGGTGTTCAATGTACCTTGTCATTGAATGATAATTTAACTCAATGACAAAATACATTCGAAATCTACTGTGACTATGCTAGATTTTTTATTATCATATTATCACTTTTCTTTTTATTTAAATAGAAAATTTACAATTTGTAGTTTGTGTACAATAAGTAAATTAAATATTAATATGATGTGAAAAAAATTAACATGATGATATAGTATGAGGAATGAAGTTGTTCAGTGACAGAAATCTCAAATATTATTACCTATGATATCAAGAAAAAGACATGAGTTTCTGAGAGTATCTTTATTGTTATGGAATTTATTAACATTTACCAAATTTTACATGTCCAAAACATATTTAACTAAATTAATAATATTACTTCAAAGTTCCAACGTTTCAACTACAAAAAAATACCAGTAATAAACAATTTTTTATTTAAAACAGGATTTTATTTTTTTACAGCGAAATTATTTACTTTTTTTTGTCATTTTAAACGGGCTTTGTCCAAAATTATTATTATCATTAACCCCTCGCCCTCGGGGTTAGGTTAATAAAAACTATTTGTATTTTTTTTCCATTTTTTTTACGTATACACATATACGTATAATAATGTGTTATGAATAAATCTGACCGTAATTTGCTGTTTGTCGACTGTCAATATCATTATAATAATATAATAGAAAATATTATTATTATAGCCAAACGAATACTCTTCATCAAACATATTTTTATCCGGAATGTTTGAGGTAGAAAAAAACCGTGTCAAACCGCATTTTTAGAATATAATACACCGCGATTGCACTAATAATATTGGTCTTATTACTGTAACAATGTTAATTTTCACTCAATCTGTCACCCTTTCGTCGTCACCTGCCACAATTACAATACTGCACGTCTGTACTTACATTGTATAAATATGTATAGGCAACGATTTGTCACAGTAGGCATGGTACGTTCCTATGTGTATGTCTAATTTGCACCATAACACGCGCGCGCGCGCCCACGCACACACACACACACACACACACATACAAATATATAAATATATATATATTTATTTATATTTATATTTATATATTATATACACATATAGGTTTACAACCAACCGCACTCGGAAAAAGCTGAACTACAACGGTAATAGCTACATATATTTCCCATTATTATTTTTATTATTATTAGGTGCCATTGTAGTGCGAGGACGGTATACTCGCGTGTTTACACATTCACCGAAGATACGTGGTATTATTAAATAGTTACGGCGCGTCGTTATTGTCGAGCTTTCGACAGTATAATAAGATTATATACATCTATAAAAATTAGAATGTTTTAAAATCAAACTGCCACGCTTTGTTATGTGATGACATAATTGACGAAAACATTCACAGTTTATTTTTGTACGACTAGGATCACGGTAAGGTTTTTACGATTTTGACTATGAAACCGTAGATGCACTGGGACAGCGAGATAAAAAAAAAAAAAAAAAACTGAAAAAGGTCATCTGGCTCATCCTATACGATTATTATAATGTTGTTATTATGCGCTCCGACATGTCCTTCACAGTAGCGCACACACGATGATTTGTACGTTACATAAAATCGTCATTTCCTCGGAGCCTCTCTCTGTGCGGCGGCACTGCATGCGCTACGAAGCCACCGCTATTCATAAATATATTATTATCGACCTCGTTGCCCTATTGTTTCACTTTGTTTTCATTTTTTATTTTTCACTCCGCAGAACAAATCGGACGAGACTACGAGAGTGTAAATAAACAAAACAACACAGTTTAACGATAATATGTATTATAATATTATTATAATGTTATTATTCTATATGATGTCACTGTGCGTAACGCGTCAGTATAGATTATGCCGTGACCGATTTTCTGGGGGCATCCGACGTCAGCATTCAATGAATCGTGAGAAAACCTAACAACGTACCTATATAGTTATAATAATATGTGCACAGATGTGTAAATCAATTTTATGCCATAGCTGCTTATAGTTCGGTCGTGGTCGCGACAGACAAGAGAACCGTTCGCTAATGGGAACTCGCACACGGGCGCGCCAATTAAATATTGAAAACTCGATGTCTATATATTTGAGACCGCTCAATTAAATTATGCTTATAAGCGATCTTAAGCCAACATTATTATGATCGTTATAAAAGTCACGATGGCCTATCGTGTGAGTATCGGTATTCGGTACGGAATCGGGTATATAAGTATACAATCCGGTAAATCGCCGCATGTACGTTTATTGTTTTATACCATCGTAAAACTTGACTTGGGTGTATCCCGCGGGTACCCGATTCTGAAAGCACGGGATTAATATCGTTTAAAACGTTAATTATACTAATTTAATATGATATTGCAAATCTATATTTCCAAACTACCATCACTTTGACACGCGCCATTTACGGTCTCACTGATCCGTTTCGAATTAATCCAATATAATGCATTTAATAAAAAATCACCATGTGATACGACATCATTAATATGCGCGCACGCACAAATTTTATGCCAATGACATTGTAGTAACAGTAATTCTAATGCAGTGATCCATAATAAAAAATATATATATATCAATTTTATTAAATTATACATTTATTGAAAACAAATATATTTGTAGAATTGTTTTAATTGCAATAAATTTACTCAAGGGAATCGTGATAAAAATATAAAATTACAAAACACTTAATACCGCCGTTGCCATCCATGACCGTTTATTATAAATGACTAATATCATAATAATGAGCTGTAAGCGCATTTATTGTTAACTACTGAAGACAGTGAGTTGAAGGTGTTTTTAGACATGTAGTTCCAATATCCATACTTTACACTCTACTCTAATCGTTCATTTGTTTTACATTAAAATCGATGTTTCGATAAATAATGGAAAACATAGTCGTATTTAGAGAAAAAAATCGAAAAATGTTTGTAAATTTATTTATTTTTATTATTATTATTTTAACTATCAATTATACGGCGAATAATAAGTACAAGTTTAATAAACAAAAAAAAAAAAAAGTGAATCATAAGATCCCCGTGGTTAAGTAATTGTTTTGTGAAGGCGTTTGATTAAAAAAGATCGAAAACAAAAGCAAAGTCAACTGTCGACACTACATATGCCTATCTTAAAATATAAATATCCTTGTGAATTTGAGGTTAAAAGAGCGAATGTCTATTGTTATGTTCTTTGTTAAAGTTATACTGCTATAGGCATAGTGTATTCATAGTGACTTACATTAATATTATTCTTTATTTTTTTTTTCATTTAATCTGTCTCTACATAACCCTAGGTAGTAAAACTCTACTTGCGAAATATAACTACCTCTACTCGTTCTGCAGGCATCACGTAGGTATATAAACTTGTAGGATATTATACTTTGAAATAAGTTTTTAATTTAAAAAATGGATTTGAAATAAATGCCAGAATGCAATCTTCTCTTATTTTCTCTCTACTGGTGTTTCAAAACTAATAATTAATTTTAGTTTTCGAGTATTTACTTGACATAAGTAATTGTTTATATTTGAGAAAATGATAAATTTAAGAACAAATAAATACGAATAAAATAGGTAGGTAGTAATTATGTAAACTAAATTAAAAATCGTTCAACCAAAAGACAGAGAATTCTTAACTTTTAAATCACTGGAGTTGAATTGCTTAAATCAGAACCCTGACTCCATTGTTGAAGTTAATCTATTCAACCGTCTCTACTTTATTTAATATCTCTGTGCAGTTTATATACGTACTATACGTATATAATATTATTATTCGTTAATAATTGTATAGTAAACTTGTATAATACGTAAATCTATCCTGATAAATACAATAGCCAAGGGTTAAATTAAATGAGAAAAAAAATGAAATTAAGAACAAAATATTATGTCAAAACTACTTGGCACACCAAAACAATTATATTAAATACTGAGATATGTATTTAAGTTTTTAATTTATAGAGTTAAAAGTATAGAGTGTGTTTACTTACTGCTGCTAGATGGGCGGCAGCAATGGTCAGACCGATAGAAATTGATGGCGTAACTGTATTGCTTCGACTGGCTTCATCGCAGACCGAATGAATAACCAAGATTAAAATAAGAGTAATGAATGCTTCTACGACGAATCCTTGTGTTGGTTGAAGCAAACTGTTTACGGCTGTTTTACCTAAACCTTTAGTTATTGCATCTGGAGTAACGAACTAATAAAAAAAAAAAACAATTAAAAATAAAATATATTGTATTAGTCAGTGTAAAATCGTATAATAATGTATTAAATTTTTAATCGAGAAAAATCTACACAATTATGAATGACAAAGTTGCTAGTATAACTGTTTGTTTTAATATTTTGAATGCAAATTTTTTACATTATATTAATATAAATTTAAATCTAAAATTAAATCCGTTCAAATCATAAACAAATTTAATTTTATTTAATGTTATATGTAAGAACAAAAGTCAAGAACGAACATCGCTCATGAAACACCACATTATAATTTAATGCCATAACTACTAATTAAGAATTGTAATCGGTGTTTTTTTTTTTTTTTTTTGTCGTTATATAAATTCAATGTACCTAAGTACGTTTATTAAATTTACGACACAATAATTAAAATCATTTAGTAAAAATCATTATGTCAATGATGCAATTACATTACAGACACTTATTTGTATTGAAATATGGTATACTATTTTTCGAAAAGTTGTAAGGACATTTTAATTTTTCTGACAGAAAAAATTACTAAAAATATAATTATACATCGTATATTAATATGAGTTGGTATGATATTTTTAATGTGTAATTACTTATATTATATTAATTATGTTGTGGGAATAGTTATATTATACATACAGTTTTAATCTTATTATGACATAGTTTAGTTAATGGACAACAAGAAATATTATTGTATTTTTGAATTAACATATAACATGTATTTAAATAATATGTTCTCTGTATTTTTGAACATAACCTTTTAAAGTTAAAATACAATAGTTTTTATCCACTGAAGGTTAAAATTTAAGTATACAAATGTCTGTTATGGAAAGTTAACGATTGTTTGAAAAAAAAAATGCAATGAAACATTGAATAGAGTTTAAAGAATAATATATTATTATATTCAGGGCCAGGTTTAGAATTTTAACACCCTGCATTTGATGTATTTGGTTCAACTTAAAGCAGTACAAACTTTTTTTATGTATTTTTAATTAAAATTTTTAATAAAAAATCAAATTTTTAAATAATAATTAATAATTATTGAAGGTTTAATTATTTATTTAAATTTAGGAAAATTGGTCATCCGGATACTCTTTATAAGAATGTTTGAATGCTATATCAAATCTAGTAAGTCCCGTCATAACCGGAATTTAGGCAACCCTAAGTTGAAGCCTTACTGTCTTGTGTAAAATAAATAAAACAAATAAAAATAATAAAAAGCGTAAATCTTAGAAATGTATTTAAATAATATATATTTAGTTGGAACAGTTATTTAAATAATTTAGCATCTTTTTTGAAAATACCTAGTTTATACCAAAATGTATTTCACGACCTTACGATTCTGTACACTCACGTTTTTTTGTTTTTTTTTTTTTTTAATACTTATTTGTATTATAACAACAACAATTTTAAAAACAATATTATTTATCATTTATTTGAGGTATATTTGGGACATTTTGGTACTTTGGCATAACTGCACAACATCAATATATATGTGTCTATGTTTTAAAAATAGGTTAATAGAATATAATAGAATTTTCTGTCTTAATAATAACAATACTATGTACCTAATACCTATTAAAATATAATACACTACTTATCATATACGTGTTTACTTTCACAACACTTATAACAATGATATATATTATAATTAATTTTTAAATTTCCATCTACAACTCGAAAATTTATAAAAAAATTACATTACGTTAAATTATATTATATTAAAATGATAAAAAAAAAAAAAAAACTAATAGAAATGTTTAACTTCTTAATTTCGCCTCAATCACACAATTTGAACACTTTTTTAAAACTACTTCGTCCATTCACTTACAATTAAACGGAAATTTTTTTTCGTGAAATTCTTAATAATTAATTAACACAATATATCAATGCACTTATGTATAATTCACGATGTATGTTATGTAGATTTACATACAATTATTAATATGTATCTATAAATTATGATTTAGATGCATATTTTATATATAATGAATATTATCGAAATGGAAGATTTCACTTACTTCTAAAAGGTAGATACCAGCTATAGCCCCCAAACACTGTGCAACTATATACAGAGCTGATTTCAAAAATGAGCATTGGCCGCTCACCAAAAAGCTAACCGTGACTGCTGGGTTGATATGACATCCACTGGTCTGACCGAATATCTAAAATAGAATTTTCAGTGAAAACAACTTCTCATCATTTTAAATAAAAATAATACAAATTATATAATAGGGAGGTAGTAAACGCATAATTTAAATAAATGCAAATAAAATATAATAACATTGTTAACCAACTATGTATAGATAAAATCATATATACTTATTTTTATATAGACTATTACTACTTTTTAAAAGACTAAAAATATTTATACTTTCATGTGTACCTATTACAATAGTAGGAACAATTGGATCGGTGAAGCATGATTTTAAATGATAAACATATATGATCGAGCTCAATATAATATTATTATACTAGTAATATATTATGCATTATAATCCTCAACATTTCCTTATTCATTTTCTTTATAAAATAATATAATAATAGTATATTATGCTCACGATAGCGTATAATACATCATACTAAGAAGAAAAAGAAAACATTAATTTTTTTTATTTGATTTGTTTTGTTCACGTGTCCTTCAAATATTTTTAAATTTTATAAGAAGTACCTAAATCTAAATGTATTATTCTTAATATCCGTAACCATCATAAATATAGTTAATATATACAATTTTAAGGTAATAAATGATAATAAATGCACCTTAAAATATTATTAAATCAAAGTTTATAAATCACTCATTTTATATCACAATTATTAATACAATTGATATAGGTACCTATTTTTTATGTTTATACTATAGTGAATTTATTAAAAATTTAATATACATAAAATAAATAAATCGATTTTACTGTAAACTCTAAACGTAAAAATATAATTTCTAAATATATATATATAGTATAAAACTAGCAAGTTAATTTTATAACAGTTAATCTTTCTTGAAATTTAACTATTTTATTATTACCTAATAATTTATCAGGGTTATGACAATAGGTGTGTTATGATTTCCCGTTGCCTTTTGCACTAGGGAACAGCTTGTAGTATGTACCTATGAACCGGCGATAGTGCTTGATAGCATTGTCTTATTCCACTCGGTAATATTCGTTTTTATTTCACTATAAAGTAGGTGTTAATGACAAAGATTTTTAAGCATATCAAAAAAATTTCGAAAAATAATGTCAAATATAAATAAACTGTAGACATATTTAATAAATATTAATACAGTTTAATTTAGAAACTATGAAAATCTATTGATTTTAAATTATGTATTTTATATTTATTTATGATTTTGAATAACGTAAATACAAACCAAAGAAAAAACAATTAGTTTATCATTGACAAAAACGTTGAGCATTGTATTCGATTATATACTTTGGTTATGTAAAATTTACTAAGAACTTTTTGTTTTGTACCCCAAAGTTCTACACTTGTATTTGCACGTGTGTAAATATTTATGTTTAGATGCACTCACTGTTTACACAAACTAATTTTTATGTAACATTGAACTGTAATAATTGAACTGTTATGCATGTATATAATTTTCATGATCGATTTTAGTTTTAATTATCATATCATATTTATCATATTTACCTGTACTAGAGTTGCTATTGTGAAACCAAAAGTCAGAGAAATTTGTATAATAGCCGATGAACCTAAACCGTCAAGCCACATAATGCTACCACAGCCAAGAAACAATAGAGTAGCCGTGCCCAAAAATTCGGCTAACAGCATTCTCCATATTTTGTTATTGTCAGATACGTCGTCCATTGCTATCATACCATGTACAACTAAAACAAAATTAAGCATAGCATATAGTTTAAAAAAAATAAATAAGCACGTAAAGTTAATACTATTTTTTATATTATAACGTTACTGTTAATTTATGAATAATACATATTATTATATATTAGTGGAATGTATAGTGATCAAAAGAAAAATATGACAATTTATCAGTTTAAAATTGTAAGTAAATGGTGAAAACCTAGTTCCTTGAAGAAAAGTTCGTTTAAAATAAAAAGTGCCTTACATAATAACAAGTTACCTTTCGTAGTGAATAAAACAAATTGAATATAAATTCAATAATTAAAACAGAAAATATAATTAGTCAGTTATACCAACATGATACACACAAATTAAATAAATAGGTACCACCTACCTAACTACCCAATTTTATTAGTTTTCATTAAAATACACAAATCATAATATACTGAATTAATAATTAATTATTTGACCTAACCAAACCTATTGAGTTTTTGGTTAACCAGTTTAGAAAATGTATGCATGTATATTATTAATAGCCATACATATTTCAAATATCTAAGATAGATAGAATATAATTAAAAAAGAAAAATAACATAAATCATTATTAATAATTATTTTATTCGTGATATTATCCATATAAATATTGATTAAAATATGTTTAGTTAAAAGATAAACTATAAATTTTAATATTATTAATATCATAACATGTTTAATATTATTGTAAACATATTCAACATGCAATCTTTTATCGAAGTTTTTATACTTAACTAAATTATTTAACAATTGTAATAATGATTAGTATTACCACAACGAATTATAATCAAATCTGTCAATTAAATTTCACTTTTCAATAATATTCAACGATATAACTCTATTAATCACGCCACTATAATGACTAACGATGGTTATTCAAATGTTAAATTATTAATTATAGTCCCAATCACGATATAATCTAATTTGTGTAAAATATATATTTTTATAGCCCTAAATCCCTAATGTATAATTCAACATTACCACTCAATTTTAATAAAAGATAACAAACAGTACTAAGGAAATTAATCCTTCATAATACATTGATTACCTCTAATTAAATTATGAATTCTAAATGATAATTTCAATATTATAATAAAAGGATTTCAATCAATGTGAAGAATTCTGGGGCGATGAATTATCTAATATAAATTAAAACCAAGCAAATATAGTTTCACAATCTCAATAAAATAGCTTAACTCTCACATTTTTATTTAATAACGTGTAAACTAATAAAATTTGTTTCAAATGCAATACAATTATAATCGTCAACAAACTATCCAAACATTGCCGAAGTTCCTACCTACCCATTTATACAAGTGTAAACCCAATTACCTCCGAATTACAGATAATTTAAGAGAAACTCTGAGCGTACCAACACACACAATTTTAACAACTTTTTCAATTCTTAAGTATGTTCAAAAATGTAAGCAATATTTATTATTATTATTATTATTACTATTATATTTATTTACGATTGAAATTTATATTACAATATGATAGACAGTATAGATAAATATATTATAATATTTGGATAAATCGGTAAATTATGATCATGTAAAAACTACTATCTTATAATGCCAAGACTTAAATTATTATTTAAGTAAAACGTTTGAAAATTTAAACTATAATATTTTAAATTAAATTAATATATTATGCTGAATCATTCAAGTTATTGCAAGAAAAAATTAATTTTAACCATCTTGAATCAGTAGTTTTTTTGTCTATTTTACAGGAACCTGCTACGATTCTGGTATCTTTCTTTATTAAATTTTGAAAGAGATCCAACTTGATACAGAAATACATAGAAAAATAAACACTTGGGTATTCAAAGAAAAAATTATACAAGAGAAGCGTAAATTTAAACGGCTTATCTACATTAATTCGAAATTTCTTCTACTATATAATAAAAAATATGTTGTACAATAACTATTAATAACACTGATTTAAAATATCAAGTTTAGAATATCAAAGTATGAATAAAATGAAATATTGTTATTAGTATTAATTATAGGTTTATTAAACCTGCAAAAAATAAAAATAAAAATTAATACTCCATGTGAAATAAAAAATAAGTAATTGAGATTTAAGATGGATGAAAAACTAACATCAAACATTTAAACAGTATACCTTTACAGACATATAGTCAATTGAAATAACTTCAGAAAACAAAGTTAAATAATTAAGAAAAAAAAAATCAAACGTACTGAAGTTATTTAGTACAAACATTTTTAAAAAATTCACAGCTATTAAATAATATTATATTAGTTTGAAATTGAATAACATTTTTTTTTTTTTAATTTACTCTATTTTCAACAAGTGAATCACAAAAAAACATATTTTTAAGTGTAAAAATTGACGAAAGTTAATGAAATTCCTAAAAAAACAAAAAATAATTTAATTTCAATTTTATTAAATACTAGGTATTCATATATACCAACTAAAGTATATTTATTTAATTTATTTCAAAAAACTATTGAGTAGTATCTGGAATCCAACTCTTTAATAAAATACCAACTATAAATAAAATATTCATTTCCTACATTTGTTAAACCATAATGGAATTCATAAATATTCTAATTTAATGAAATTATTTGAAATTATTTTACTATAATTTTCTAAATAATTTTGAATCAACGCAATTAATTAATGCATAAATATCTGTTTTGATTATTTTTGCTTATAAAAACTGAAGGCTAATATACGAAAATGTTTAAATGTTTTATGATACAAAGAACAGTCTTGTTTACTGATTAGTGAGTTAAGACTAAGAATAAAAATAAGATGTTCATAAAAAAAAAAAATAAATAAATAAATAAATACTCACCTGTATTAAATACAACTGAATTATAAAAATATGTTAGTTTATAAAAACGTTTATAATGTATCTATTTAAATAAAAAACAAACTATTGGTTATAATTTGAAAACAGTTACTAACAGCATATATATATGTATTTACAGTACAGACAATAATATTTTGAACCTTATTACAATATATTTATTATAATTGTATGTTCTGTTTTATTTGGTATTTTGCGTTGTAATTGAATTTATTACTAAAACTAATAATTTCTAAAATATCAATAATGTGTATTTTGAATGAAAATTCTTGGTGTTGAATATTTCATGTATTAAAAACATATCGAATTCAAATTTAACGTAGACAAGAGATATATTATGCACACATTACACATCACGACTAAATGTATTATAACATGGTTATTATTCGTTGAATATTAATTTCATGAATAAGGTAGCTACGAACATAGTTTTGATAAAAAGACAAATTAAATTTTATTTGTTTTCGATTAAATAGGCTTCGCGGTCGATGAAAACAAACAATTTTTACTTATTGTTGTACACATTTGCTATCAAGTATTAACATATTATTTTGTATCGTCGAATCGTTTATGTACATATTGCGTCGTATAAATGTATACCAGGTGTGAAAAAACAAATGTAAGATAATTCTAATAAACAATAATACGCATAGGTACTAAAACGTAGCTATATTTTAATATAACATTTATAATGCGTCTAAAATGTTTTTGTTTTATAAATTTCAATATTTTTAGTTAACTAATTTAAGGGAACACTATGTGCATATATTTAAATTAATAATTTGATAAATACAAAAGAGATTCGGTTGTTAAGTGACCGAGTGGGTACTTGTGTTATTATCTTCATAAATTTTAATAGAAATAATGATTAAAGATTGATCATTACATTTAAATAGTTTAACCAGAAATTATGCATGGATTATTTAAATGTAATACAAATATAGTACGTTTAATTTCATTTTCTTATTGTTGATTTAGTGATTTTTATAGAATTAATTGAATTCTGTATGTTTAAATTTATATTTATACATTTTGTTTTGTAATCGAGAATTATTTACAAAATTAATATAAATTATATAATTTTATATATACGTAAAAAAAAAACAATTAGATACTTTTTTCACTGTACGGAAAAACATAAGTCATGTATAATATTATGTTTTTAAGACTATGATTAAAACATGTATGACAACGAGGTTATTATGTTTTCATAATTATATTTATCATATAATTATATAAAATGATATTTTTACGAAAATTTCGATTAAAAAATAATTATAATAGAAGGTGTAGATTTCTGAAAAATTGATATCGCGAAATCTGAGATGAAAAAAATTTGTATTTATCCAAAAAACATATATGTTACAAAAATAATAAAATTACTCCCATATAATATTTTTATGATTCCAGATGGCGAGTTTGTATTAACCAAGAATTATTTTATTTTATTCTTTGATATAATTTTGTATGTATTTAAAAATAAGTTTTAAATTAAAGTAAATAAAATATTGTATGATTTAGCAGGTTAATAAATAAAATAAAAATATTCATGATAATAAAAAAGAGTTATACGAAAGCTATGTTTAGACTAAAAACTTTTAAACGTAATGTTTTTTTTGGCTAGCTTATATTTAGCACGAATTATGTATATATACTGTATATGACGTGTTAAATGAAATCATGAAATCTCAAATCACTTTGAGCGACAATAGTAAGCGTAGTATATTGTAGGAGTCACATAGACAGAACAGTAAGGACGGTTTTAATAACTTACATTTTTTTAATATAAAAACGAACAACAAAACATTAATAATTGTATTGATAGTTTCTATTGAAAAAGTTCCATAATCTGTTATAACCCAATAGAATAAAAAACAGGTTGGAAGTTATTTAAATATCTATATGATATTATGTGAAAATAGCGTACCTATTTATAAATTATTATATGATCCTCATATAATCAGATATCATTTGGATTAATCATGAAATAGTATTTACGAGCACAAAAAAAAAAAAATAATAAAAAGATTAATGTCATTATTTGATTTCATTTAACCACAGAGTAAATAATAAAACATACTAAAATATATTAATCAGTTACTTACCTACTATAATATGAAACTATATTCTTAAAAATCTGTTTATTATTTTTAATAATAATGTATAATTTAAAAAAAAAATTTTTATTATTACTACAGAATATAAAAATAATACCAACTTTATATTTAATTAATGTAGCAAATTTAGAATTCATATTTAATACATTTTTATTCCTAATATTTTTCATCTTTTTATTTAAACGAAATTGTAACATTTCGTTTTATTATCTTATATCTAAACTTCCGTTAGTTTTTCGCACAATTAATAATATACACTAATTAATTTATTTTAAACAATACATTGTTCCAAAAAGTGTAATTAATTCTTTGATAATGTGAAAATAAAAATAAAATGTAATTGCTGTTAATAAACAGTTAAGCATATGCACATAAATAATATATAATATATAGTTTACCATAATACTTTAACCTATATCATACAAGTAAAATTAGGTCAAAAATATGCCAATTTTTTATAGTATCTATTATCTACTAGGTGACGTATATATGCATAGAAGAGTACTTATAGTATTACTATTCATATATGTAATTTGGTTTGTTTTGTTTTTTAATGATAAATAATTATTCGGGAGACGAAAAAATACAAAACAGATGTATTTAATTGTTTACAATCGTTGATTGTGTGCTTTCAACGAGCGAAATGAATTTTAGTTTCTACAATATATTTTGAAGGTTGAAATATTCGTTTAACGTGTAGGTACAATAAAAGGTCCGTTAATTTTTATTCACCAAGAAACATAAGAATAGTCCTAATGGACAAGCATAAAAGTGTTTTAGTAACAGTATATCTAGGTGCCTAATATTTTGTAAAAACTAAGTTATCCGCAGAACAATATTTTCATTATAAATAGTAAGTAAGTAACCCGAACTCGTATAATAATAGTAATAAATTAAAGGTAAATATATCCAAACACCTATCTATTTTCTAAAATAAAGATTATTTCATGCCTCATCTCGTAAAATGTTTAAAATAACAATAAAGTAATATATCCATATTCAATGTTATAAATTAGTTACCTACTGGCTACTATTTTTATGTAAACGTAGTTACTTCTGATGCAACAAAAAAATTAATATACCTATCGAAAACTCAGATAAAACATGAATTGTTTTTATGGATTTTCTTAGTAAATTTAATCGGCTGAACGAAATTAAATATTTAGTTGAGTAAAAAATTGAAATAAACTTCAAAAATATATTTCCAAATATTAATAGATTAAGTTTAACAGCATACTTAGAACAATAATGAATTGTGTCAATATATTATATTTATTAATGATTTTATTTTTGTATAAATTAATAGTAATTTATTCAAACGTAATATAAGAATTAACATATTTAAAAAAAAAACTTGTATACAAATGAAAAATCTTTTAAAAAAATTAATTTTCAATCTAACTTGTCTATTATGCAAAATATTCAACATACAAAAGTTAAGTATAAATACAATTTAAATCATAGTTAATTTAGTCTTTCATCTATAATAACTGAACATAATTTATTTTAAATTATGAATAACATTTTTCTTTCAATTATTTTAAATAATAAAATATATAAACTATTAGTAATTTAAAGTCAGTATTGATTTTTAAAATCATGATAATTAAAATTAATTCAAACTAGTCTTCACAATTAAAACGGATTTAAGAGAAAATAACAAAATTAATTATTTATTTCTAATAAATAAATACTAAATATTAGATTTGATTATTATGAAAAATAATTTATACCTAAACGTGGTATAATATTAGTAATTGATTAAACCTAAAAGTTCAAAATGGGTTTTTTTAACGTAATGTCATACAAATTAATAATTAATTACAATATTAACCATAGTAACAACATTACATACGACTTGTAAAAATATTAAACCTATTAAAAAAAATAAATTTAAAATAGTTACATATCATGTACTTTTTTTTTTTTTTTTAAATAAACACGTCTTGTATGCATTAAAATTGTTTATGTTAAATAGTATTTTCACTCACTATAATTAATTCTTTATAAAAATATTACGTTTAAAAATTAAAACAGAGTTCTAAACAGCTTTAAGCTTACCTTTTGATCTAGGCATGATTGAGTTTATTTTTTCTGTGTATGTCAATAATACGATGAAATCTAACTACTGCTCGACGTGTGTTTCACTATAGCTGGACTAAAACGCGCGTACTGAATTACTATAAAATATGTTAATGCTTCAGCAGCGCCAGCAACAGGTGTCACATCACTATATTGCTTAAAAATAGGCGGGATAACCCTATGATGTATCCCCTCCACGGTGTTTGATGCATTAGCTTATTTGATTAGGGATATCCCTATTTCACGTGAAGTTTGGATTTTAATCGGGCCAAACCATAAAATGATTAATACTACGTTGGTTACTAAGAATTTTATACCGTTCAATTTGTGTATGAAGTCAATCATTATAGCCACATTATTATGTCATGGTACATTTTGGCAGATAATTTTATCTTATCAGAAATTATGTATGGTTACTCATCTTTTTGATTGTTATTGTAATATATGCGTGTTTAATACATAGTATGTAATTATTGATGTGTACATAATAATAAAATTGTGTATGTATTTAAATAAAATAATTTTTAATTGAAAATAACCATTTAATAAATCAAATAACATGCTTAACTTCGAGTTTTATATTAGTATTTTAGTAACTATAACTTTATATAATATTTATAAGTATAATTCAACACGTTGTGAGTATGCCTAAAAACTCAACAAATCTAAATATAATACAATACTTATAAAATTTGAAATAGAATTGAAATCCTATAACGATCAAAAAAATGTATGAATAATATTAATTTATGTCAAATCATCAGTTTTTGATGTAATACGCTTAGAAGGAAGAAATAAATTTAAAGTACAAACACAATATTTTAAAATAAATTCTTACATTATAGTATACCAAAATTTTAATGATTTCTTATAAATAAAAATATAGTCGATAATTTTTAAAAATTAAAAAAAAAAATAATATGATTGATATTGTAGACATTATTATAGATTAATTATTTTATTAGTTAATTATGTTTTTAAGTCATATAAATTACTTGAAATAAAAGTTATTAAAATATATTGTCTTTAAGTTAACTTATAAATTTCAAAAATCTTTATTTGGAGAAACGTATTGTTTAAGAAAAATGCTTCACTACTTCTTTAATTTTTAATTCATGATTATGTTTTATTATTTCTTATAAATTAATTTAATAAGGATATTTAAAAAAAATATTTTAGTGTTATCAATAAATAAATTTTTGAATTACAACTTCCAAGTGTTTGGCAACAATTGAACTGACCAACGTAAAAAATAACTTTCATACATATTATACTCAATATTGTGCCATATTTGAGCAAAAAAAAAAAAAAATAATAACATTATTACGAAAATTATATTTATATTAGAAGCTGGTTTTATCATTTAATAATTGTGTTGATTTTATTACATTTATATTGTAAACAATTGTGTGTTTTTGTGAACTTTGTTCTTATTCATTATGCGTAAAAATTAATTATGTATATTATATCATATAATTGTCGAGCTATAATAGATTTGTACGGAATACGAAAACCTAATAAAATAAAAACATTACCTATTATGAATATGGCATATTTTGATAAAAATAATAATTATTATTAATTAGATTAGATAAATATCCAAATATATTTTTCTATAAATCACAATAAAAATATATTGTTGTGTTTTGATTAAGGTACAATATCCAACAGATCAGTCACTATCGACATTTTTATCATCTTTCACTTTAATTATTTGTAACGTATCGGAGACTTTAAATAAAAAAAAAATATAAATTTCTAAAACATTGCGCGTATATTTTTAAATATTATTCATATTCATATATGTTTATTAAAAGTTTCCGTGTATTGAATTTAATTGAATTTATACAAAATAGTAATGTAACAAGCTTCAAGTAGTTTGATTGAATGTACAATAACTATTAGTGGTATAAGATATTTGAAAGTATACATAATGCGTAGTTTTTTTTTTTTTTTTTAAATTTTTTTATATATATATACCTATTATTATTTCTAACTTCATATAATATTATTTTTAAGAAGACGCCACACCAACATTTGTTATCTATAGCTCTTAGGCGTGAACTACAGAGACATAGAGTTTATGAAAATCTTTTATAGATTAATAAATATCTAAAACATTTAATACTGTGACCATTTTGATGTACATAATATAAAATATGGTTGTGTCTATACTAATAAACGTTTTTTAACTCTGAATATTTTAAAAAAGATCTTTATGATCCTAATTTTACTAATATTCATTTACGTATAATAACATATGAAACTATGGTGTAGTCTCTTTTCAGTTTATTATATTAATTATATTATTTTATGTTATTGCAAGAAAATTGTTGATGTTTTTAGTGGTATGATGAGTTAAAATGTTTTATTTGTGTATTATATTAGTATATTACCGTGGGTTTTTTTTTAAGCTACCAAGCTTATGTTTCTAAAACACAGGTAGATAAGTTAGTACCTCTCTGCTGTGCATTAGGTGTTGAGTAGTTCATTGTAATGGGTGTGTTAAATTTTAATTCAATGATATGTTATAATATTATATGAAAAACAATTATAAGCGGAGACAGTCTAGTTATGTCAGAGCTGTTAGACTAAAATATTGCTAAGTATATTTCATACTATAGTTTTTAGTGTAGCTAAAAATAATTTATTTTTTTCTTTTAATATCTATTAAGTTGGATTGATTACATTTTTTCTGAAAACATTGCATTTATTATATTATTAGTGTTTAATAATTATAAGTAATCATGTATATTTATATCATATATTATATTATTGTAACTAAATTTTGAGTTAATAATAGAGTGAGTAATTCCATAGTATAAATAGATTCTATCTTGAAATAAATCTACATATTTTGAAAATTCCAATGTGTATAGTAAAATCCATGATAAACTTACATAATACAAATTTAAAGTTCAAATTAATAATATTTTTGAAGTATAACAGAATAATTAATATCATTATTCATTATTGAAATATATAATTTTGCTTAAATTTGAATTACAAATAAATATTTTTTTATTTTTTTTTTTATGGATTTAAGAAAATTACAATCTGTGAAATGTTACACAATAAGCAATTATGATAATAAAAGTAAAACAGTGACATGAAAACTACAAATAAATATAAAATAAAAAATAGAGTTTTTATATTTTTACGTTAAAAGTCCTAATATGAACTATTTTTGAGAAACGCTGTACTACATTTTTATAGAAATTGAAGATATTATACATTTTTGCTACTAAATACTTGTAACATGAAAATTTTCACAACTTTGAAGAATTTTGTAAATATTAAAACTTTAAATACATATTAATAAAACCATGCTTATTAATTTTTAAGAATTTTATAAAGATAGAAGAACAATTTTTTTGAGATCTTGTATTACATATTTTTTAAGAATTTTGGTCTAGTGAATAATGTAAAACAAAATTTATTTTGTTAAAACCGGTTTTGCGTGAACATTTTTTGTTTGTTTTTCCGGATTATTTTTAAAAATTTCGAAAAATTTTAAATTTAACTTCTTTAAAGTAAAAACAAATAGATACAATTTTTTAAATTTTCAATTCGAATAACCACGTTCAAAGTTTTAAATTGAAACATTTTATCACAAAAATAATATATTGTTCAGAATCTAAAATAAATATTGAACATAATTATATAACTATGATGTGTGTTTCTTTTCATACGTAATTATATTATTAAAATAATAAAATATTTATAATATAATACCATTAATCAATCAAATCGATATATTTTTTATGATTTACCGCAGTAAGTGTTTAGGTATTTCAATTCTTTACAAATATTTGAAAGCATTTCTGAATTTCATATAAGTTACCAATTTACAAACAAGTTCTTTATTCCACTTATCCATTACTTGATTTATTGGTAAATACTACATGACATTACGATTTACGTTATCAAAACCATACAAAAACTCCAACAAAATTTCACCAAGGTTCTGATCAGTAAATAGATACATTATTTATTGTAGATGGCATATTACGTATTGATCTAAATTATTTACTAATGGAATGGACTGCATTTTACTGGTACAGGTCAATAATATTATATTATATTGTCAATTCTATATAATACTATCATTATCATTGCTTTGTAAAAGTTTTTAGGGACCCATACATTAAAAACATTAAAAATAATCTAGTAGTAGCAGCTAAAAAACATGCATAAAGTATTAAGACATGTAGAATTTTTTTTTTTTTATGTACAATATAAACGTAAATTAAATTTGTTTAACTATAAAACCTTAAGTATAATTACGTAGTGAAAATTTCTGTTTATTTTTTTCATAACTAATATTAATATTGACAGGTACTAAGTAGGTAAACTATAATTTTTTACTAAGTAATTTATGAAGTCTTAGATAAAACATCAGCTACTTATGTTTTTTGTTTAAAATGTATAGATTCCAATTTTACAGTTTCATTAAGAAAGCAATAATTTTAATTTATTATATAAAATGTATAATTGATATTAGTATAAACATAACACTAAAATAAAAATGAAAATAACACCTACTGGTTTGATAGAGGTATTTTGTTTTTTTTTTTTTTTTTTGTTAAAATAGGTTTATGGTTCAGTTTATTGTTTAAAAATTACATATTAAACATTTTCACGGTAAATAATGTTTATTATCGTTTAAAACAATTCATTAAAAATAAATACAACAAAACTTAGTTATGCATTTTGAGTTATATTGTAGATACATATTTTTAGTTAATATTGAAACCTAGCATAGAATACATGTTAAACAAAAATGTTATTTTATTAATAAATATTTTTACTATTTAATAAATTGTTATTTGTATTCAATACAAATAGCCATAATATTCTATTAAAATTTGGCAAATTATCAAAAACACAAAACGTGATCTGTGATATCTATTTTATACTTTGTTAGATTATTGATAGAAGTTGAATAGAATAAGTAAATCATGTAGCTTGTTTTATTTGAATATTATTTTAATAATGGATGAGTTTGAGTTAAATATAAATGGATTATAAATTATAATATTAGTTGAAATTATTCTATGGTTTAAAATTTGGGCCCACTGATATTACGTCATACTTATGTTTTTTCAATGAAAAAATAAAATATTTGTT